GGGCAGATCCTACAGCGCACCTCCCATTCAAGTTGATGGGGACGGACATTGCGATTTATTGCCTTGGATGGCTTCAGAGCGTTGGGATTACAACACGATATTGGGATTACAGCCCTCCACGCTGGCAAAATCATTCACCAGTTAAATATCTGCCGTACAGACGTGACTACTTGTATCCTGGCAGGACGTCGCGAGGAACCAGCGAGCAGCAGCTTCTAGTGTCCATGGCCTCGACGTGCGTAGACATTTGAGCGATGGCGCAGCAGCCGCACCACATGACGGTGCACGTATCGGACAGCAACGACCCAGGGATATCGAACAATTGACGCACGCGAGAGCGGAGGACGGCCAAGAAACCGATGAAGTTGAGGGAGCATGCAGTTGCGATGGCATTTACGAGAGGCCGTTGCAGAAAACTCAAGCCAAAGCTTGCGACGTAAAATACACCAGCGACGACGAGAACGAGAACAAATTGGCCGAGGCCGACGCGTTGGGCGATGTGACCCACGGGGACGCAGGGCGCAACGACCGATAAGAGGCTTAGCGACAAGTTGAACGACGAGAAGGCGAAGAGGCTGGTGCGCCATTTGTACAATGGAATGCCATTCGTGTCGGTGGTCTGCTCCCCCGTCAGCGTCGGAATGTCGTCCTGGATAATCGTGAGCTCCGTGTCGATGTACTTGACGATATTGTCCGCATCGTTCGCCATCGTTGAGTCACTCATGGCGAACGCGACGGTCGGCGTCGCCGCCGACACACTGGACGCTCGCTTCTTGTCCATGATGGCTGGCGACTTTCTGCTTGCGACTTGATGGTGTGGCGGCACAATACACTTCACCCACGGTCGTGTAAACTGGACTAGTCCAAATACGCCGATTTGATTGGATAATTGTATGTGATATTGCCAGATTTTGATAAATCGACGAAAAGCGGTAAAAAAGCTGAATCTCATCCGTTTAACTGGAGTTACAGCTGGAATTGCCCACCATTACGTGTTTTTCCCTCAGCGTAGTTCCGTTCTGAAGATATTTCCCAATTCTACAAAGGGATATTCTGGTTCATCCCACGGACGTCGTCAAGGCATCGGTGAAGCAGCGAGGTCGAGACGATCTCATGCCGACCATGAACGACAGAAAGTTGAATGGACGACGGGTCAAGGAATACAAGAGGGGGGATGGGCGACATCATTTTACACGCCACGACATGGATACAGCATTCATATCAACACACCCCACCCACAGGCTATTCTACCGCCTCGGGTGTCGGTCGCCGCTTAGGCGCACCACGTGACAACGTACGCTTCGTCCAAGTGGCAGTTGCGTGTCTTGGTATCATCAAATGGCCAGTGGTACGCGTCGGGGCAACGTTCCCACATGCACTCGATGGAGCGGCAGTTGAAGTTGTTGTTGTTGGCGATGTATTGGATGTCTAGCTTCGCCTTCACATTGAATCCTTTGACGCTCCCACCCTTCGAGCACGCGTCCCAACTCGTGCCTTGGCCGCACTACCGAAGTATAGTTCAGCCACCCACACACGCGATAGCATACTTTTGGGTGTAGGAACTTACGTTAGGCGGGATCACGCTAAAATCGTACCAAAACTTGCCTCCATCGCGGCATACTTCGAACACTACAAGTCATGCATGAGAACCTCGAGTGACCACAACGAAGTATGTGCGCGCAACGTACACGTAGCTTCAGGCGAGCGACCCACACGCACCGTCGCGATGCTGTAGCCTGGGGCCAAGTCGTAGAATTGACCAGATTCTACCGTGATGAAGCGGTCCTTGTTGTCGACAGAGATCATGAATTCAACAGTGCGACCGCAATTGTTCACATTGCGCAGCGTCCCTTTCCCGATCGGGGCGGTTGGCGCAGGGGTTGGAGCAGGGGTCGGAGGGGGTGTCGGAGCCGGGGTAGGGGCAGGCGTCGGAGCAGGCGTCGGAGCTGGCGTCGGTTCCGGAGTAGGCTCCGGTGTGGGTGCCGGAGTCGTCGTCGTTTGTTCAGGCGTCACAATCAACGACTCAAGGGCGCTCGAGTTCGCGGACTCGGACGTGATGTTGTTGGCCAGAGTGAAGTTATTCGTAGCATCGATGTCCGTGTCAACACCCGTCACCACCGATGCGACGACGAGCTCGCCATTCGGAGCGGTTGGGACGGCCGTCGAGGGCGATGAAAGGCCACTTGCTTGGGACGCATCCGATGTCTCGGTGGACGTGGCGACAATGACCCCGATGGCTGTCCCAACAACGACGAGCGCTGCCGCCAAGATGACAAGGATCTTTTTGCGCTTTGCCTGCTGGAGCGATAACTCGTACTCATCCGAGTCCTTGTCGGCCAACGATCTGCTTGGCATCCAGTCCGTTTCGCGCCACAGCGACAAAGCCGTGGCGGGAGGCGCCGTCGTTGGCGTAGTAAGCTCGCTCTCGGCCGTCATAAGAGTAAGTTACCGTGAGGCAAACGTAGAAGTGCTGGTGGCACGCCGAGGCCGCCATGTAAAGACCAGCACAGCTCGTCTGGCGGGTTCAATGTGAAACGTTGGGCCTTGTCCCACCGTGACTAATGGGTGCTGCGACGTGGATATAATTTGACCAACTATTGATAGTACTCTCGTCCAATCTGTTCATAGTACAAGAAGGGGAAAGGTAGCAGAGCAGCACCAACACCCATGCGAAGGAACGACATATCGCTTCGGCACTTGCAAACGAGGTAGAATGGATGAATCGAGGCACAGCTTGCAGTATATTCTCGTGTGTGCAGAAGGACGTATATTTTGAAACGTGCATTTTAGACAGGACTATTGTGCTCGGCTTCGTGTTCGCGTTGCGATAGGCGAGCCAATCACAGGTGATGAAAACGTTTATGGTAAATCCGATTGGTGGATGAAAAGTACAGGTTGCGTTAGTCGTAGACTAGCTGTGAATAAGTACAGTACGTTCGCGAGATTGTGTCGGTGCGAGCGAGAAGGACGAAGCGCGCGCGTGCCAAGAAAACATTTTGTTCTCATCAAGGCGTGAAAAAACCCGGTCTGTTCTCTTGTACTAGCCGTACCAGCATGTGCTCTCCCCCCAATTGCATGGGCCGTAAACTGGATAGGGGAGAGTACAGCTCCGTTGGATTTGCGTCGATTTGTTGTGCTAAACGTCGTTGTTTTCGTATCGCCTGCCCCGGTGTTTCTCATGCCCACAGCAGAATCCGGACTCAATGACAACGGACGAAAACGACAGCATGCAAATGTGAAGCATGGAAACTACACAAACGGCGAAGATTGCCATCACCCCCCTTGATGCACCTGGGACGTCAAAATTGGCGTCGCCGTCCGACCAAGGTGGTCGTTGTACAGCGGCCGGCAGTGTGGTGAACTTCAAAGCAGTTCAACGAAGACTGAAAGAATCATGGACCGGATCGCTCGATGGGACAGTGATGTCGCACCAGTCCTTGTCCCGTCTGTAAATTATGTAGTATATTTTTATGTTAAACAAAAAACAGTACTGTGGAATTTGAGACTGCAATTTTGCTCCGTTCGCCATGGCGATAGGTTCTTGAATGGGAAGGTTGCATGCACCCTTGTGGCAAGAATGCCGTTTGCATATACACGGCAACTCGCGCCGACCGCGGCACAGCGACATAATCGACGAAGCTTTTGCAGGGTCATTGCTTCTAGCGCTTCGTACCTGTCATTGGCACGCAAACAACCACCAATCCAGCGTTTTGCAATGTTGATGGATACCAAGGTCTACCTACCTACACATAGAAACCAGAAGCGCTTCCGTGGACACGGAATGTGACGTGTGTGTGGCCGATGCTGGATAGGTCGATGTCCTTTGTGAATCGAACGAATTCACAAATCATGGCAAACAATGGAGGAACTTGTTCCCCACACAAAACAACCACTTGTTTTTTAGCCACAGCTCCAATGTCTGCGAACTCGGCAACTCTGCGAACTCGGCAACTTGCAACTTGAAACGTAGAGAGCTCTAATTCCGCCCCAGCAGGGAAAACGCACAACGACCACACTGTACATAATATCTTGATGTGGGCGTCGATTCTATGCGTGCTGGATAATGATAGCAGGCGATTTCGACGACGTCCCGTGCTATAAGGGATGAAAATGAGGAATAATCAGCCCAACGTCCTGTGGTTTATGCCGCACACGCCTTGGTCTCCACGACGTTTCACTAGTCAACCTCTGCCATCAATCACGTTGTATAGTTTTCTTGGCGCAACTGCTCTCTTCGGAATATACTTTCGTTATTCCCAACTCACCAGTTGTTAAGCCCAACATGTACTCTACATTTCGATACTTTATTGTATTGGAGAGGCTATTTGTAAAACGCAATGTGTTTTACCCGCAGATGGCCGCGCCAGTGAGGGTCAAACCCCATGATGGCCAGACATTGTCCGGATAAACCTGGGCAAGAGTTGTGACACACGATTCTGGTCGAATTATGGGGGGACTGGGGCCCGATGTATTTTTGCACCCACCTCCTTCCGTACAAACTTGTAGATGAAACGAATGGGGGGAGGCCAGACACCCCTGAAATTTGGAGGGAGGCCCTACCCTACTATCGTTTATCCATCGAGATGGGAAGATGTGTGCAATGGCTTCATTCCTCGATTCACACCGTGTGTCTCCTATGAAGTTCGTCCTTCTTGTCGCAGCCGCCGCATTCACCGCTGCTCAAGTAACCACAACAGCTAAGCCCGCCACTGCAACCACCACGGCTGTTCCGTCTGGGGTATGCAAGCTCCAATTTACGAGCGTTTGCGACACGGACAAGGAATGCGGCGATTTGAACGGGTTCAACATGACGTGCATCAAGTCTGGCGCCAATAAGCTCTGCGGTTGTTTGGGCGGTGCTGAAAAGTGCCAAATTTCCTCCACTTCGCCAGACATTGCGTACCAGTTCGATCAATGCACGGACCAACGCCGCTGCGTTCAAGGCAATGGGTTCACGGCTCTCACTGCTGAGGACACGAAGAAGGTGTGCCAAGAACCCTTGTTTTGTGTGCGTGAACAAAACCCCGACCCTGTCGCTGTCCTCAAGAGTCATTGCCACACATGCGGCAGTTGCAAAACCCAGAACGTGAGGAACAAGGAGGACGGTGTGTCGATGCGATTTGACTGTGCGAAGATCTGCCCCACCCCTGCTCCTACCACTGCCGCCCCCACGGTCGAACCCAGTGACCTTCCCACCACCAAGGCGAGCAAGTCTACCACGACTGCCGCTCCAGGGTCTCCTGGTGCCAGCACCCCCGTGCCGACGACGTCGGCCGCGTCCTCGTGTGTTGCGGCCTCTCTCACGTTGGCTGTGATTGCCGCTGCCCAAGTCGCGTTGTAAGTAGACACGTTTGCGTGTTTATCAATATATGATACAAGTATTCTCGAAAATCTCGAGTGAAAGCGGTTTCTGTGCGAATGGATGCAAATCTCCTTACTTCGTGCCATCGTTGTGCAAACGAGTCATTCTCGCCACAGCAAGGTGCAATGCACCAAGCGGGGCTCGGCTCGAGTAGGTTTCCAACTGTCGGTCGCAACGAGAAGGATGCCTGCAGTACCGACTCTCTTACGTTGGTCGGCAGGACTGGTGGTTCGAGCGCACGATGATCGGCGGCCACTTCGCACCAGCAGTTTCGAGGTGGAATGTCTGGAGTGTGTAATCAGCAGCGATTCGACTGCACTCGACGCTTTGCGCTCCAGCCTATCCGCTGCTACCTGCGCTCGCTACGTATTCACGACGGCATTCCGAGAGGCGGTTGAGGTACGGTCGGCCAAATCTCGATAAAAACTATTCATATTACGGCGAGCGACCTCCAATGCAATAATACACGACCGTGCCAATGCCAAACGTGATGTGGATGCAGATCATCCAAAGAAATAGGTAGAACCAGTACAGCGTCTTCTTGCCGATGCATTTACCGGTCCATGGACAATGGTGGTCCATCTGCGTGTGGATTGTCAAGGGCGATAGCATTGAAGCACACGTACCCCGTCGATGCACACTTCACACTCGTAGCAGTGGATCGCGTTGTGCGGTCGGCGAATCTGACAATGTGCTACAACACACCACCGATGGCACGACGAACATCCATAGAGTTTCTCGTACCACAAAGAATACCAGCAGGTTCGCCGGTCGCATTCACGTAGTGCTCACGGACCACCCCTGGGTCGCTGCAAGCCACCATCGAGAACGACAGAAATGTGAGGGCGATGGAGACGACGAGGAGGACCGACACCCATGACGCCAAACCAGTCGCGAAAATGAAGATCAGAGTGGGGGCAACGACGATGGAGTAGGTGATCAACATGCATCCCATGTTTGGACCGACGTGAAGCACATTGGGAAAGTAGATCGCAGTTGCACTTCGCTGACACAGAAATCGCGTCTGTCCAAACTTGGTGCAGAAGAGAGGCTTGCGCTTCTCACGTATCTCGATGGTTTCGTGCTCGGCAGACACACTCTCGTTCGACATGGGCGTTCGTATAGTCGTCGCCGCCTCCGCTTGCATGCCGAGGTGCACCTACACAATCGAACAAATTTGCTGGCGTTTAACCGGGGTTTAAGCGGTTTTTCAACGACTACGTTTTTCAATAAGAGTATGTTTATACTACATGACGGTATACAGCACGGCTATAGTTTCCGAGATGGGTTTTTTTTACGTGTCCCTCCAATACTTCCCCAACAACAACGAACTGTCTTTTTTGCAAAGTGTACATGAATTCGCATTTCTATGGGATATTGTATGCTGAACTTGTGACATGACCGTAGTATTAGGCAGATTTCGCAAACCTTGGTTTTGTTTTATCCGCATCTTATCCTTCAATATCCAATAAGTTTGCAACCAACCCGTGAAATTTTGTTGCAACTTGATGAAATTGTGGCTGGCTGTATCCGCATATCACAGGGCTATTGACCAAACCATTCGAGGATGTCAAGCGACCTGGGAGTCGACAACGCTGACACACAAGCTCGCAAATGACGAAGCAACTCAGACGACTTGAGTTTGCTCACACAAGTCAACAATGATCTTCCATTTAAGCAAGTAAAGAACACCACCAAAGCATGGGACGCTCTGGCAGCGAAACTGTTGGAGGTGCCAGGTTTTGGCCGCGCGTCTTTGGATGGCAAGAAGGCTGCGAACAGGTTCTACCAGCTCCTGCGTGCACACCGGCGACTCCAGAACAGCTCGAAGTACATTTCTGGAGTTGAGCAGGACGAGACAGAAAGATTGTTCAATTGGACGAGCTAGTTCAGCTGTTCGACGAGACCACCGACCAACGCAACGCCGACCGAGCTGCCGTCAATGCCAAGGCAAGAAATTTAAATATATTGATTTTTTCCTTCCTCCATACATTTTTAGGACGAAACCATGTCGGCTTTTTCCGGGGTTCACTGTATTGAGAGCATTGAGCATCGGGACTTACAACGGTTCCAGCCTCCCAAAGGACTTTTAACATTCTTGAGCAAGCATCAACTTTCACGACTAATTGATACATCAGTGATATTGCATTTGTTATCACATCTTTGCATATTTTGAATTCGTATGTACCTTTTGTTTTGTACGTCTACGAGCTTTCATCTCCCGTGTACTTTGGACTCAGGGCCAGGCTTACCGAGTGCTCCGCGCGCGCCAGTTACTGCTCCGCTCACTGTGTCTACAAGAAGACCGACCACTTGGCAAGGCGGCAAAGAAGCTCAAGCCTCGAGACTGGAGCAAGCCTATCACTGATGCACGCAGTCTCCCCAGGAGGCACCAACTCAGAATGACTCCTTCTAGCCTCTCGAACGTGTATCCGGATCTTGATTCTGATTGGTCAGAGAGCTCACTATCCGTAGAATTTGGTTGCGTGTGTATTGTACATTATGCCTGAGAGACTTTTCATGGTCGGACCTTTCATGCTATGGTGACTTTGACCAAGAACCATTACCTCATGTGTATATAAATCGGTCTTGGACTCGTAAACAAAGCCGTCATTGATTCCCAGCGGGTGCCTTGTTAATCAAAGCTGAAGCGTGCGGACCTGGACCTCGTTCACAAGCCTTTCGATACCAAGTATGTTGCGCATAACCTGCGTACATTGTCAACATCGACGACACAGCTGTCTACTATGGCATGCCACCCTGTCGCACCGAGTTCGGCGAAGAATCGAGAGTTGACTCGACCGAAAAGCACTCTGACCGCCTCACTGCTCTCACAGGAGCAGGTGCAGATGGTATGCCGTGTGGCTTGATGTATTCTGGTCAATACATTCTTAGGACCCAAGCTGCCGATTCTCCTTCGGGAAACTTCAGGTTTCTATATTTAATGTACTACCTCTGTTGTTGTTGA